AAAATTCTGATAATTGACAAATTTTTTAGGTTATAATCCTTTTAAATAAACTTTTATGCACTTAAAATTTCATTTAAGCAAAATTTTTATTTTTTAAAATACATACTAAAAAAAAACGCTGAACAACTAAATGTTCTATTCTTTCATATTTCCCTACATGGATATTTTTATAAATTAATATACAGTCAAATGAAAAAAGTAGTTAATAAATATTTTTTCAAATACTAATTTCTTGTGATAAAAATTTGTTTAAAAGAAAACTCGAATTATTGCAGTTCTAATAAGTAGATATTTTAAGTATTTTATTTCGATACCACAAAAATTGTTGCAAGTTCAATGTGGGGAATATTCATGCGTCCCATTTTTTGACATCCGAGAGTCATTGTACGGCAAATATCTTCGACTTAAATAAACTTTTTGTTTTTTTTATTTCAGTCCCTCAGAAGGCCGCAATCACTGCAGCGCAGTGGGAAAACTGGATTTTTTTTATATAGCGAATAACTCTTAATTAAAAAAGAATATTTTTCTTTGAAAAAATTACAAAATGTTGACTATTTATACAAATATGTATACATGTACAAAACTGTATAAAAAATTAGATGCAATAATTTCCCTGAAAAAAATTCCTAAAAATCACCGTTTTCTTCAGTCACTCGCACTAAACTTTTATAGTAATGTAAATTTTATAAAAAAAGTATAACAACTTTTAATGTTTCAAAGATTTATTCACGATTATAAAATAAAATGTATGTAGTTCTACAATTATAAATAAAAATATAATTTTGTTTAATATAAAATGTGATTTTATTTCGAATTTATAATAACAATAACAATAATAATAATAATAATAATAATAATAATAATAATAATAATAATAATAATAATAATAATAATAATAATAATAATAAGTCAAGACTATTTAATAAGTAAACTATTTTCGAAGAGCCCAAAAGTAATGAAATTATATTTAAAATTGCACTGGAATGTCGTAAAAGTTTGACCTATAAATCATGGAAAAGGTATGGAATTTTAATTTCGGATTTCTGTAGGAATCTTGTTATTTATTTACAATAAAAATTTAAGTATTACTTACATATAGAATCTATTTCTTATTTAAAGTAGAGAGTAATGCAATTTAATATTCACTATATAAAGAAATAACAAAATAATAACAATACACAATATTTTATTTAATTTGAAAATAATTTTAATTTATGCACATTAATTAATTAATTAATTAATTAATTAATTAATTCATTCATTCAATCATTCATTATAAATAGATAAAAGAAACTTGAACTCTTCATTTAGAAGCGAAATATTTAGACAAATAAGAAATATTCACTACTTTTTTTTAACGATCATCTTACTGACTTCTAAATAAATCAATATTACATTAAATATACATAATAAATTCACAATTACACAATAATAAGAATAACAATATTAATAATTATACTATAAACAGATTAATATTTATAAAAATTTGTAAAACACATATTCATATTACTAGAGCCATCTATGATTGTAATAGATAATCACAATTTAATTTAATTACCTTATAATAAAAACTATAATATAAATTAAAATAATCATAATAATAGTGATACTTATATAACAAAAAAATAAACATTTACTGACAAGTAATTAGTAAACAAACAAAAAAATTTTACTCAATAAAAAAAATTGTCACTTACCAAAACGATTTCAAATCTCGCGCACTTTCAAAATTCCCTAGGAAGAACATATTACATAGATAGTAAACTCAGATGTTAAATTCTCTTCGATAAAATGAACATTCGAAGTTTTAAAAATTCGATCAAATTAACATTCGGAGTTTTAAAAATTCTATCAAATTAACATTCGAAGTTTTGAAAATTCGATGTAATGAGCATTCGAAGTTTTGAAAATTCGAACAATTGAACATTCGAAGATTTGAAAATTCGATGAAATGAGCATTCGAAGTTTTGAAAATTCGATCTAATGAGCATTCGACGTTTTAAAAATTCGATCAAATGAACATTCGAAGATTTGAAAATTCGATCTAATGAGCATTCGAAGTTTTGAAAATTCGATCTAATGAGAATTCGAAGTTTTGAAAATTCGATGTAATGAGCATTCGAAGTTTTGGAAATTCGATGAAATGAGCATTCGAAGTTTTGAAAATTCGATGACATGAACATTCGACTTTTTAAAAATTCGATCTAATTAACATTCGATGTTTTAAAAATTCGATGAAATAAGCATTCGAAGTTTTGGAAATTCGATGAAATGAGCATTCGAAGTTCTGGAAATTCGATGAAATGAGCATTCGACGTTTTGAAAATTCGATGAAATAAGCATTCGAAGTTTTGAAAATTCGATCAATTTAACATTCGAAGTTTTAAAAATTCGATCTAATGAACATTCGAAGTTTTGAAAATTCGATGAAATGAGCATTCGACGTTTTGAAAATTCGATCAAATGAACATTCGAAGATTTGAAAATTCGATCAAATGAACATTCGAAGTTTTGAAAATTCGATCTAATGAGCATTCGACGTTTTGAAAATTCGATGAAATGAGCATTCGATGTTTTGAAAATTCGATGTAATGAGCATTCGACGTTTTGAAATTTCGATCAAATTATCATTCGATGTTTTAAAAATTCGATGTATTGAGCATTCGAAGTTTTTAAAATTCGATGTAATAAGCATTCGATGTTTTAAAAATTCGATGAAATGAGCATTCGAAGTTTTGGAAATTCGATGAAATGAGCATTCGAAGTTTTGGATATTCGACGAAATGAGCATTCGACGTTTTGAAAATTCGATAAAATAAGCATTCGAAGTTTTGAAAATTCGATCTAATGAGCATTCGATGTTTTAAAAATTCGATGAACTGAGCATTCGACGTTTTGAAAATTCGATCAAATTAACATTCGACGTTTTAAAAATTCGATCAAATTAACAATCGATGATTTAAAAATTCGATGAAATGAGCATTCGACGTTTTGAAAATTCGATGAAATAAGCATTCGAAGTTTTGAAAATTCGATCTAATGAGCATTCGACGTTTTGAAAATTCGATGTAATAAGCATTCGGAGTTTTGAAAATTCGATGTAATAAGCATTCGAAGTTTTGAAAATTCGATCAAATCAACATTCGAAGTTTTGAAAATTCGATGAAATGAGCATTCGATGTTTTAAAAATTCGATGAACTGAGCATTCGACGTTTTGAAAATTCGATCAAATTAACATTCGATGATTTAAAAATTCGATGTAATGAGCATTCGAAGTTTTGAAAATTCGATGAAATGAGCATTCGAAGTTTTGAAAATTCGATAAAATTAACATTCGACGTTTTAAAAATTCGATCAAATTAACAATCGATGATTTAAAAATTCGATGAAATGAGCATTCGACGTTTTGAAAATTCGATGAAATAAGCATTCGAAGTTTTGAAAATTCGATCAATTTAACATTCGAAGTTTTAAAAATTCGATCTAATGAACATTCGAAGTTTTGAAAATTCGATGAAATGAGCATTCGACGTTTTGAAAATTCGATCAAATGAACATTCGAAGATTTGAAAATTCGATCAAATGAACATTCGAAGATTTGAAAATTCGATGAAATGAGCATTCGACGTTTTAAAAATTCGATGTAATGTGCATTCGAAGTTTTGAAAATTCGATCAATTTAACATTCGATGTTTTAAAAATTCGATCAATTTAACATTCGATGTTTTAAAAATTCGATCTAATGAACATTCGAAGTTTTGAAAATTCGATGTGTTGAGCAATCGACGTTTTGAAAATTCGATATATTGAGCATTCGATGTTTTGAAAATTCGATGTATTGAGCATTCGATGTTTTGAAATTCGATGTAATGGATATTCGATCGATTTGATTTTTGGGAGATTTCATACGACCGATAGGAGACAACCAATAATTTATTATTTATTTGTTTTTATATTTTTTATTTATTTATTTATTATTTTTATTATATTGCATTAAATAGAACAAATTTTAGAATAGTTTTATTTTTAATAAAATTTCCTATAATGCAACGTATTTGTAAAATTAAATAGATAACAAATTTATAGTTATTTTTAATTAAATATACATTTCCCGCCAAAATAATGTTTACCAACCGAACATTGTTGCAAATTTCAATCAGTACCCGTGCAACGGTCGTGTCGAGATGAATAAACAAATAAGTGTAGAATTTGTTTTCCTAGAGTGTAATTATTGTGGTTGCTGTTCTTGTGATTTAAAAGTGAAGTGAATTATAAATTTTCAATTTATTAATTGATAAATTGCGAATCAAAGTTATAAAGTGTGAATTTGTTGCAAATTGGTAAATTCTAACCCCTCCCCACCCAACGGTTTTCGTTGATACGATTTGCACGGCTCTAAAATTCGTGATTGTTATTATTAAAGTGATATTATATCCACACTGTGAGAAAATATTATTTTAAATCAAATAATTGTAAAGTTCTCTTCACATTTGTGTGAGTAGAATTCAAAAATATTTGTTAATTTGTTTAACTAATATTGCGCTCACATTTCCGTCAAAAAAAATGGCGGGAACTACTTTTCCCAGTGCTTTTTTCATTAGGAGTGTATAATTTACAGTTAAGATTCATAATTAATAATTAAACCAAAAAGTCAATGTGGAATTTATTTTCGAAGTGAAGTGTGTGTATACTCAAAATTGTTCACCAATACGAAGAAGAGGATTCGTAATGGCGACGGGGACGGACTACTGTCATCGAATTTTGAGGTTAGTTTTTTTATTATTGTTTTATTTTTGTTCAAACGGTTCAAACCGTTCAAACATTCATAAAACTTCTGTAAAAGTAACTTTAAATATATTATTTAATTCAAGCTTAATACGTATTAATTTTTTTATTATTAAATTAATTATTAAATATTAATTATTAAATATTAATTGTTAAATTAATTATGATTAATTCGGTAACAAATTCAAAATTTACTTTAGAAAATATCCAATAATTGCAGAATTATAAATTCATATTTATTTTACAAATTTCTATCTATACAATATTATCGAAAGATATTTTATATAACAAAATTTCAAAAAAATATTCTAAAATATTTACATAAATCCTAACCTATTAATTAATATAAAAAACTTTAATATTTATAAATGTCTTTAAATATGGCAAACTGTCCGTTTCGACTATTTGCAAAACGTCTCTTTTTCTCAATCAAACGGATTTTTCCTCAATCAAATTGAGAATATCTTTGAGTAGATAGAAAATTACATTTTTCGCACTTGACAGGAATAATGCACAATATCGCCATTCGGGTATCTTGCGAATGCACTGAAAATTTTTTTGTCAAATTATTAAATAAATTAAATAAGTATTTAAATAAATTAAATAAATAAATTAAATAAATAAATAAATTAATTAATTAAATAAATTAATTAAATTAATTAATTAATTTATATTACATTAAATTAAACAAATATGTAGGAAACATACCTTTGGTTGCCAAATCTCTTTTTACAAACGGGACATACATTGAATTCAGTCATGAGAACACTTTGCGATTGATAGTGCATCCGTTGTTCTTGAACTTGTAAATGTTCGGCGTAAAGAAGCCCCTTCAGCACCTGCATTCGTCTTTTTTCATTAATATTATTCTGCAAACTTGCTTCCAAAAAATGTTTTATCCTTCCAATTGGAACATTATCCGGCAGAACTTCAAGAACTTTCAAAGGTTTAATTTTCGAAGCATGTTCCTCCAGTAATTCCAAAGCTGTCTCCAAATCCGGTTGAGCAGTCCTCTGCATTTCCGGAACATGACCTATGGACAATTTTTTTTTCTTTAAATTTCAAGGAAAATTAGAATTAAATTTCCAAAAAAATAAATTTTACACATACCAGCCATCATTAGATCGGAAACTCCATCGTTATCCGGTTTTAATAATTGTTGAATTAGTGTTATGTGCACTTCATCGGAACCGTCTTGTTTATTAACGTCCGCACCGCTTTGACCTGAAAAATTTTTTAATTTAATAAAATTATTTATTTAACAAATTTAATTTAATAAAAAATGTAATTATTTGTTATTTTAATTTTCATTTGATGCTCTAAAAGTTCGGAATGTTTAAATAAACGAATAAAATTTGAATTTGATACAGAAGTCAATTTTCCTTTAATTGAACGTTCAAAATTTTGAGAGCATTTAATTCGTTGATTATATTTCTATTAAAATTATTCTCACTTTCGAATTTTGCGTAAACATTGTTGCAGTATTGAATAGCCTTCGGCACGTCATTCAATAAATTAATGTAAATCGAAATAGCCTGTTTGTGACGACCAAGTCTTCCTAAAATAATCGCTCGTTCCTCGAACAGACATTCGTAGGGAAAATCTCGTAGTACAGTTTCCGGTGTATAGTATGTTGATTTTTGCAAAAATTGCTGCAATTTTTGTCTCACGTGTTGGGCATTTTGCTTTTCTGCAGGTGTTGCATTTTCGCTCATTGAAGCCAAACACTTTTCTTTATACTGATGAACCAAAACATTATGAAACAGTGGATTCGTGTCTTCCCAAATGTAAACAACGTGCTCCAAATAAGTTATCACAGTTTCTTTATGAAAGCGCAGGAGATAATCGAGAACTTTTGGTCTCGGCAGTTGTTCCACTTCCTGTTTTACAAAAATAATTTCTTTCATCATTTTATTTTTAATAATTATGATTTTTTAACGATTAATTATTATTTAATGACTAATTATGACTATTTAACGATTAATCACTATTTAATGATTAATTATGACTATTTAACGATTAATTATTTTTTAATGATTAATTAGGACTATTTAACGATTAATTATTATTTAGTGAATAATTAATTTAATATTGACTTCGTACCAGAATATCTTCCATAAAAATACGAAGACCTTCCCCTGGGTCTTGCTCGAGAACCCATCCGGCAAATTTTAGTATCAAATCCATATGATCTCGTCCCAAATGTTGTAAATATTGAATCGTCCTCTCGGTACCTTTTAGACTAGAATCATTTTCTTTCGATTGCTTTTCCAAGAGTTCCAAAGCCTTTTTGTGCTGACCTTTCGTTTGATAGAGAATAATCAATTCTGGATATTTCTGATGCATTATCAAAGTTTTCTCAGCCTCCGCAAGATGACAGTGATTTAATCTCAATAACGGAGCCACTAAAGCATCATTAGTCTAGAAAAAAAACAAATTCTTGAAAAAATATAGCAATAAAATTTTAGGAACAAAAAAAATATTTAGTAAACAAATTTCTTACCTGTAGGTAGCATTTTAATAAGGTTGTGTCTATAATTTTCAACAATTGTTGTGTAGCAACAGCCGTCATATTATTTCCCTTTTCGTCTTTCTCTTTTCCCTTCTCATTTTTATCTTTACCCTGCAAGTGAGTGTCTCCCAATAATTTGTGTCTCACTTCCGTCAAATAGGCAATAAGAGCGAGTAAACCATTTTCCAAATCACGATCCTGAAGTTTCGGAAGACCCGCCACTGGTTCATTGCTTTCATTCACGTTCGATTGTGACACTAAGTCTGGAAACAATCTGATGACTTCGTACGGATCAGTTCCGAGTTTCAGAAATTGTTCCATTGCCTCCTGGAATTTTTTATTGTAAAAAAGATGATGCGCGTATAATGTCTGTATTTTGTGGGTCTTCTTCGACTTTTCCTCTTCTTTTATGTCCGAAAGGTTCTGAAATTGCGAAAAATAACGGAAAATCAGTAAATTTACTGGAAGAAAGAAAGTTTACAATTAAATAAGTTTACAAAACTAAATTTACGAAAATAAATTACGAAAATAATGGGACCGTCCATAAATTACGTAACACGTTTTTAGTGAAATTTTGAACCCCCCCTCCCCCTATGTAACAAGTTGTAACAAAATCGTTTTACACCCCCCCCCCCCTCCTTATAAATGTTACGTAATTTTTAAAAATATTTTTTTACTAACGTTTTTCGAAACAAATTTGTTTATTACTGTTTTTTTTAGTATTTATATCGTACAATAGCAATACAAAATTAAGTTAAATATAAAAAACATTTAGAGAAATAATTTTATTAATCATACTGAACAACCAAAAATATAACATTGATTTTTTAACAATAAAAATTGTATATTATTCCCAAGAATCGGTTCGCGAAATGATTCGATTTTTACTTATATTGAAGTGGCGGCAAGGGACAGCTTTTCAAAAATTTATCCATTATAAAGAGATTAAGTTCCTTATAAATATTACGTAACAATGATGATTGACCCCCCCCCCTCCCATGTAACATATGATAACATTTTCTCGAACCCCCCCTCCCCCCTAAACGTGTTACGTAATTTATGGACAGCCCCTAAATAACGAAAATAAATTACTAAAATAAGTTACGAAAAAAAATAAAGTTTCGAAAATAATTAGAATGGGTAAATTGTCAGAGTTACCGTCAGTTTCAGAGCAAGTTGAAATTGGTTATTCTCGAGCAGAGTTCTTATTTGCTGGGCTAAATCGACGGCATTTACACACCATACTTGACTTATTGATGCGACATAAACTCTTCCTTGTTTACAACGGTAAATAAATCTTGCTTTATTTAATTCTGGTAAAGTTTGAATATGTTGACAACCTTCTAGAGTGTAAACTTCCAAAGAATCGTGTACGATACCCAAAAGGTACGGATCGTCGGACGCTATATTTCCAATGGGCAAAAAAAATTAAGTTCAAAATTGTAAAGATTAAAATTAAGACATAAAATTCAGAAATTAAATTTCAGAAATTGAAGAATCATAAAAAATTATTCGTTTTTAAATAGTTGAAAATTAATTGCCTGGTAAAATTAAAATCATACCTATTTCGCTAGGAGAATCGGACCATTTGATCGGATTGTGTTGCACTAAATCCCCCTTGGTGTCCATAATAATCGATTGAGAATCTTTTCCCAAAGCGAATGAGGTATTCGATAATTTAGTGACACTAGGTTCGGGCGATTTACCCGTGGGAAATAATTCCTTTATGGTACCGTTAAAATCCATTAAAGTGTAGGAAAAACTGCGAAATCCCAGGACAAGTGTCTCACCACACCTGAAAAATTATTTGCAACAATACAATTATTATTACAATAAAAAAAATTGTGAAAAATATTTCTATGAAACTATTATTAAAAACATACCATGCTAATTGTCTCGGAATGTCAGAAACAGTCAATTCAGTTTTCAAAAAATCTTCGAAACTCTTAATTTTCTCCTTCCAGTAGTACAATTGAAGTTTTCTCTTCACTGCAACGCATAAACGAACTGTCGTATTTTTTTCTCCTGTCAAACTTTCTTGTTTTTGCATATCCAATGCAAAGAGAGTTGCACCCCGAGTTTTCGGTAGTTGACAAATTTGGTGAATTGTCGGAGATTTCAGATCGTGAATACATATTATATTATCTGGAAAAAAATTACACTTGAGTAGAAATAGAAACCAAAACCAAAAATCCAAAAGAATATTTAGAACAAAAAACAATCTAAATGTGACAAAAAATTCTAAAACAAATTCTGTTAAAATTTTCGCAAATTGGGAGTAATTGAAAATAGTTATTTTGAAAAAATTTTAAATATTGTGTAAATAATAACAAAGTGGTCACAAGTTCCACATTATTGATTCCCCTGACATTTGCCTGACAATATTTACTGACATTAAAATCACTTTCTCTGACAAAATTCTTTTTTAGGAAAAATATGAAAGTTTACAGAAAATAAATAAACGATATGAATTTTAATAACTTCTAAAAATTACAATTATAACAATTTCTAAATACAATTATTTTCTACAATTTTCAACTAAACTTCATCTTTAAATCAATTTTTTAAATAATTTTCCGAAATTGCTTCCAGAATATTCAATTATTTAAATACAGAAACTCAATTTTTTATGATAACTGTAACTGTCCATTTTTTTTTCTTAAGTTTTTAAGGTTTATATTGTACAATTGAATTGAAGAATTTCCAATAATTTAAATTTGGTAAAATCTTTTTAAAATAATTGAATTTTTGGAAAATATAAATAAAAATCATCAAATTTTCGAAGAATTTTATAATTATAAATATGACCACGATTTCTCCGAAATTTTAATAAGTCTGAAAAAGTACATTTTTATTCACTTTGTTCTAAGATAATTGAATCTTAAAAAATTATGATAAAACAATTATTCTAAGAATTAGATTTTAAAAATATGTAATGTTTCGAAAATAATTGAATTTTTTAAAAGAATTTTTGTATTAATTTAAATAAACTAATTAATTTTTTTGATTGAATTTTAATTAAAAATTTTAAATATGATTATTCTTTTCTCGAAAATGTTAAAAATAACTCTAAAATGTTATTATGTTTTGTATGTATTTGAATTTTCGGAAATATGTAAATTGAAAATACTGCGGAAGTATTGAATTTTAAAAATTTAGAAGCTAATTTTCATAATTTTTATTGATTTTCATTTTTAAATTTACATCTAAAGATTTTTCATTAACATTATAATAATAATAATAATAATATATATTTTTCATTTGCTAAAAATTGTGATATTTTGTTTCAATGTTTGGAAGAAAAATCTAAAAAGTCGCAATTTTTGAAAATAAGTCGAAGAAAGTCTCAATTTTCTTAATTTCCCTGACAAAAATTTTGTTTCCTGACATTTTCCTGACTTTACTGACATGTGACCATTCTGAATAATAATCAAGAGAATTTTTCCTGATAATTGTAAACTTACCTGTCAAAAGAACCAACAAATTATACTCCGGCACTACGTCAACTTGTAGAATTCGTTTTTTATTGAAATTTTTATTGTGTCCCAATAATTCCAGTTTGTGATGATCATTAGACTTTGAAGGGACATTGTACATTAACAAATGTCCTTCCCTTGTGCCAATTAGTAAATTATCATCTGTAATATAATTAATAGACAAATTAAGAATATAATTGACACATAAAAACTGTCTTTGCTCAAATAATTTAAAATATTTTAAGATAAAATTAATTAATGCTTTATAATAGTACTTAATATTTTAAATATTAATCGTAACAAATTTGTTTCGTAAATATTAGGCTTTCTCTGTAAATAAAAAAACAAGTATCTTTTTAAAACAATTCCGATTTAGAAAATTGAGGTTATATATTTACCATAAGCTGCTATCGATTCAATTTGAACAGTTAATTTTAATATTGCAGTTGCCTCGTAAGCATCATGCATTTTTATTTTAATATTGACAGTAATCTAATGTCGAATATTTTCCAATTTCATCCAATATTTGGGTTTTTGTTTGACGTTTCTATTTCTGTCACTGAAAAGCAGACGACCGGATATGTCGATCGAAGCGCACTCTTTCTATAAGAGAAGGAAATTCACTTTGTCAATATTTTTGCCACATTTTTTCAATAACACTTTCTGCAAAAGAACCCTTGTTTATTATAGTTTCTTTCGTCAAGAAAAGCATGTGGCTATTTTTCCGAAAAGCAAGAAAAGTTCGACAGATTTCAATGAGGTGAATAGAGGTGAATTTTTCAGTCTTTGGCTATCCATAACCTATCTTATTTTGTTTTGAAACTTTTGAACCTTTTGAAACAAAAATTTTATAGAAAGAAAGTAATTTCTGATTAGAAATTTTGAAAAATATTTTGGAAATTATTATTTAATCATGAAAGAAGTGGATAATTCTACAGTTTCCAGAGAAGAAGAAGAAGTAGAAAAAGAAGTTGTTGGTAATGGTGAAGTAAGTCCTAATCTATTTCTGGTTTTTTTTCTCAAATTTTTTGGATATTTTCAAAATTGGTATAATTTTTTTTAGACGCCCCCAACTACGGAGTCATTAGCTAAAGAAAAATTAAAAGGATGGTTGAATCGCATTTTTCGAATAAAAATCACAGATGGTCGTGTTTTAACCGGAGCATTTTTATGCACTGATCGTGATGGAAATGTCATATTGGGCTCTTGCACCGAATATCTTTCCGAAGATCATAAATTAACGGAAGCAAGAACATTGGGTTTAGTTATGGTGCCAGGTCGACATATAGTAACTATTCAATTAGATTCTTAAATAATTAAATTTTGAATAAGTGTTTTGAAAAAAACTGTCAGAAATTATTTGCTATTTCTCTAAATAATTTTTTCTCATCTCAGCGAAATAAAATTTCAAAAAAAAAAAAATACACGAGTTCGTGAAATAAAATTCAGTTATAATTTTGACGTTAATGTTTGTATTAAAATAGGATAAAATAAAAAGAAAAGAAAGTAACAAAGACGATGGCTTTTTTTATTCTAAAAAGTTTGCAGCTTAATATTAATAGTATTAAATAAATTTATAAATCTACTGGTGTGGTGATCTCGACAAAGTCGGTTTCCTCTGAATTGGTTGCTTTTTGTCCTTTTTGCTTTGCTAGGTCCACGATTTTAACTGAAAATTATGTTAATTTTTTAATATGTTATAAAAATTGATGAAAAAAAATTAAATACTTTTCTTACTCTCTGGTGGATCGTCCTTATCTTTTAATATACACTTTTGTTGAATAACCGTATATTCCTCTTCGAGTATTTTATTTTGTGCTATTTCTTTTTGAATATTATTTACTGCGTCGTCTATCCTTTGGCAAAGAGTAACTGATAAATTGTCCATTCCCGTCAAGAAAGTAACTTCCGTCGTTGCTACTGCCATTTTTTGAACATATTCCACATATCCGACTAGGCGCTGAAAAATTAATTTTTCAAAATTAATTTTGAAAATTTAAGTTTTAGAAATTTAAATTTAGAAAATTTAATAATTGAACCACTTTTTAATGTAAACTGTTATTTATTATGACGATGAATTTTACAACGTTTGTTATCAACGATTGCAAGAAATAAAATATTTTTCTTGATAAAAACAATAAAATGTTTTGTTCAGAAATTTTTCTATTTCAAATTATTGATGAAAAGAAAATTCACGAAAGTGTTTTTGTGCAAAAATATGTAAAAATTTTGAATAGAAAATATTTTTTCTTCTAAATCGTTGATTATAAACGTTGTAAACCAGGCTTCACAGTCATTAGGACTTAAATGTAAAAAAATGACCCCAAAATGAAATTTATTTCTTTCTTTTTCGAATTCAAATTTTTATTTATAAAATATTACGTCACGTACCTATTAGAAAATTATTTATTAAATTTCAGAATGTTAAATTTATTTTCGATTGTTTATATTTCGTTCATTGAAACGTTCTTAGTTTTTTGAGTACAAAAAAATGGTTAAATATAAAAAAAATATTTTCAAAAACTCACATTTATTGTTTGCTTCTTTTTTTGCATTTCTCCTCGTACTAAGACGATAACATCCCAATGTTCGTCGCTAACTTCTCTTATTAAACTTTCTTGCAACAATGAAATTATATTCACCAGTAGTTTTCTACAAAATACAAAATTTTTCTTAACAATTAGTAAAAAAATTATATTTTTAAACTCAAATTCCTAATAAAAAAAATTATCTCTCATATTTGATTTTTAATGAATTATAAATATAAATATTGATTTTAATTTTAATTTAATTTTAATATGTATGTGAATTAATTTTTAGAACAAATTTTTGCAAAAATTCAATTATTTTCGACAAAATTAAAAAAAAATTTCATTACAGAATTCAATTATTTTCTAAAATTTTAATAAATCCTCCGGAACAGTTCAATTAATTTTATTTTAAATATCTAGTAAAATTTTTGCAAAAATTCAATTAATTTTAATAAAAATTCGCTAAAGAATTCAATTTTTTTCTAAAATTTTAATAAATCCTTCGAAACAATTCAATTATTTTTTTAAAATAGTAAAATCTTTCAAGAATTCAATTAATTTCAATAAAATTTCACAAAAGAATCCAATTTTTTTTCTAAAATTTTAATAAATTCCTTGAAACAATTCAATTATTTTTATAAATAGTAAAATTTTTTAAAAAGTTCAATTATTTTCTAAAATTTAAATAAATCCTTCGGAAAAATTCAATTATTCTTATAAGTACAGTAAAATTTATCGTAAGAATTAAATTATTTTTTATAAATAACAAAATTCTTCTCAGGAATTCAATTATTTTCAATACAATTTTAATAAACTTCAATAATTAAATATTTAATTTTAATTATTAACTGACACGACTATTTTAAAAAGTAGAAAGTAGATTATATTCAATAAATTAGAGACATTTTTTGAAAGAAATTCAATTATTGTCAAAGAAACTCTTATTATATTTCAAAAAAATTCAAAGAAATCTTCAAAAGAATTTAATTAGGATTTTTCAAAAATTTTAATAAAATTCTTCGCGAAAAGTCAATTATTTTCATGAATAATAAAATTCTGCGAAGGAATTCAATTATTCTCAAATTTTTTCACAAAATTCTTTATAAGAATTCAATGATTTTTAATACATTAATTTTAAAATTGAAAATATTACAATGGTTATTAATATAGATTTTTTTTACAACAAATTACAAAAATGTTTACCTGTATTCTTTACTGACTGCTTCAATTGCACTGTAAGTGACAGTCAAAGTTTGAGAAGCACTATTTACAGATTCGATTGCCGATTGTTTCATCATATAATCAAAGGATAAATCCTTTTTCTCAGGTGGTAGTAAATTAATTTTCTCCTCGGAATTTGGTTTTTTATCCGGATCATATTGAATGAATGACGAGGCCATTGCAAACTATATTTTTAAATGAGAAGCAAGCCAAAATTATTATAGTAATCAAATTTAAAATTATTGTCAAGTACAATTTTTCTTATTAGTACAAAATTCTTCTATTACTCAATTATTTACATAGCAAAAAAAGAGTAGAGAAAATAATTACCCAAATCGGTCGATTTCTTTTACATAGCAAGTTTAAAATATTTCGGCAAGCCATCTCCTTAGAAATTATGTTTTCTATTTTAAACAGTGTTTACAATCATACTAATGTCACTATTTGTTATGTACGCATGAAATATATGTGCACTTTTATATTTATTGCATCCATGTGACATTTAGAGGTTAGGAGTTGAGTATATTTATTAGATTTATTATTTAGTTGTCATCGTCTGCATCGTCGGTGTTTCATAATTTTTTTAAGCAATTAGCTTTTCTTTGTAAGGAATTTTCATTTTTTGTCCTTTCTTTCTGAATTTCCACAATTATTTTGTAAAAAATGCGCAGAAATCATGCGGTAGTATTTATTTCCTTCGTAGTAAGGTAATTGGTAAGCACGTATAGTAAGCTATACTGGGTGTTAAAAAATTACGAAAATCAACAAGAAAGTTACAAATCAATAGGTAATTGTGTTTATGTTTATATAGAGATTAAAAATTGTTTTTGAGAAAATTTTATCACCCCAATTATATTTCTATAATATTCGAATTTACTAAAAAAAATTACAAAAATTAGTGATCCACAGGATTTCCCTCCCTGAAGTTTTGAACGTTCAAATCGTTCAAATGGAGCGAATATTTTCAAAAATTTAAGGAATAAAATTAAAAATAAATTATAATCAGGGTGGTCACAAGTTTCAGTTTATCAATTTCCCTGACAATTCCCTGACATTAAAATTATTTTCCCTGAAAAAATTCTTTTCACAGGAAAATATGAAAGTTTATACGGAAAATGACTCCAAAAAAAGTAAATTTTTATTTGCTTTATTCGAAAATAATTAAATCTTAAAAAATTGTAATAAAAAAATTCTAAGAATTAAAAAAAAATTAAATTAAGAAAATTCTAAGAATTAAGTATAGTTTTTAAAAATATTTTAATGTAATTTTTCGAAAACTGATAAAAATAATTGAATTTTTGCGAAGATTTTTTAAAAATATTTTTGAAAATAATTAAATGTTTGAGTAGAATTTTATTAAAATTCTTTGAATAAGTGAATTCTTTTAGAAAATTTTATTAAAATATAGTTGGTATTGAAAATCATTGAATTCATGACAGTTTTTGAAAATAATAATGAATTTTTGACAAGAATTTTATTTAAATTTTTGAAAATAATAGAATTTCTTCAATAATTTGTAACTTTTCTAAAATTACATTTTTTTCAGTGTTTGTAACTAAAATTTTTCTATAAATCCATTATTTTTAATATTTTTTGAAAAAGTTTTTTGAGAATTTTCAAAATCATTTGCTTTTAACTGAAATTCAATTTTAAATCAATTTTTATTAGAAAATTCTACTAGAATTCAATTATTATTTAAATACAAAAAAAATAATTTATTGAATATTTTAATGTTTTTTAAAATTGAATTTTCATAAAAAAATTTTTAAGTAATTCAACTCTGTCGAAGATTTTTAATAAAATTTTTAAGAATAATTACATTATTCAAGGAGTTCGATAAAAAAATGGTATGACAAATAATTGAAATTCTGTATTATTTATGAAAATAATTGAATTTCCGTAGGAAAATTGTATTAGTTACGAAAATAATTGAATTTCGGAAAAAATTTTATTATTTATTTAAAGATAATTCAAATTTTCCAAGAATTTTATTAAAATTTTTGAAAATAATTGAATTTTGGAAACGAATTTTATTATTTTTAAGATAATTGAAATTTTTACCAGAATTTTAAAAAAATTTTGAATTCAATTAAAATTTTATTGAAAATAATTGAAATGCTGCAATGAGTTTTACTATTTATAAAAATAATTGAATTAATGCGAAGAAATTTATAAAAAATTTATAAATAATTGAATTTCTGTGAAATTTTTATTATTTTATGAAAATAATGAAATGTTTACGTAGAATTTTATTAAAATTTTTTTAAATAATTGAATTCTTTTGAAAAATTTTTTTAAAATAGTAGAAATTGAAAATTATTGAATTGAGAACAATTTTTGAAAATAATTGAATATTTGCCAAGAATTTTATATTAAAATTTTTGAAAATAATTGTATTTTGGAGAAGAATTTTATTATTTCTAAAGATAATTGAAATTTTTTTAAAATTTTTTAACATAATTTAATTTCTGTGAAGAATTTTTTTACTTTTAATTTAATTTCTTAAAAGAGTGTCTGTAATATTTAAAAAAAAAACTAATTCATTTCTTGATGAATTTTAATTAAATATTTTGAATATGATTTTTTTCTCCAAAAAAATTTTTTTTTAATTGTATATTTCGTAAATTTAAATAGAAAAATTTGATACTAAAGAATTAATATGATAATTTTGTTGCAATATTTGGAAGAAAAGTCGAGAAAGTCGCACAATTATTTTTAAAAATAAGTGGAAAAAATCTCAATTTTTCTAAATTTTTCTGACAAAAATTTTTTTTTTCTGACTTTATTGACATGTGGCCGCCCTGATAATATTTACAGAAAGGAATTTCGCGAGAAATAAAACAGCAATTATTTTTTTTATAAATACAATTTATTCACCCCAATCAATAAATAACAAAATTGTAATCATGAGAGGAATCAGTGGAATGGAAAAGTAATCTTAAATTTTAAGTTTCGTGCATAATATTGTGTTTTTTCTCGAGAAGAAAATTTACAGCAAAATTTGCTGTATCACAGAGAGAGGTAAATTACAGTCTGATAATGACAAATCCTCTTTTAATCGCAGTATACTGAACACTGTATATTGTAAGATGTAACATTTTTCTATAACTCTCATGACAAAAACTTGCTTAATTATTTTTTTCTGTACATCACTTTAGCGTTCAACCCTTTCAGTAAAATATTTAGACAGTCTTCTTTAAATTTCTATTTCATAACACTTTTCATAGATTAATTCCTACATTTTTTATTAAAAATCTAGAAACTATATTTATCAATAAATTTAAAAGTTAAAAAATGAAATATTTCACTGATATAACAAATTAATATTTTTTTTTGCCTCTTAAGTACCCACATTCCATATAATTAAAAACAAATTTTCACCCTTTTAGAGTAATTTCTCACTGAAAGGGTTAATCTGAAATTACTAGAGAGAGGAGACGCTTTTTTTTGTACAATATTTGTCTGCTTTTGAAAAATACTTGAGAGATAAAAAGCAGACAGATAAAAAGGCAACAATTTTTTTTCTAGTAGTTTTGTCTTGATTTTAAAAAATCACAAAAAATTAATTTTAAAGTGATTGCATCGATTACATTTGATTGTTCACAAATTTTTAAAATCGATTGATTCATATTTTCAATGATTATTATTTTTTTTAAGGTACTAATTTATAATACTTTTTTGAGTAAATCTAATAAAGTAGTAAGATTTATATCAAGAAATAATATCTCAATCGATCTTAAATGTTCTTCTTAATAGTAAATATTATTTCTATTATCATTGAAATTAATAATTAAATAATTGCATATCCTCTCTTTAGTAACATGTTATATTGCAATTTTTCATTTATTACACATAAAAACTATTATTATGAAATAAGTCTCTAAAAAAACTGCACTCAAACACATTCGCAAAAAATTTACCTATTATCATTTATAAATATAAAAACCGATAAGAAAATGCAACTTGCTCGTTTTCAATAATGTCTTTTCTTTCGAAATACGAATAAGCGAAACAATGTAGAAAACTCCATGACAATAGAAACAGATAAATTGAAGTTTTGTACATACAAATGCATTTCTTTCTCGTAGTTGTCAAATCGACTTTTTTTTTCTAAATTTCTGTCAACATCAAATTAATGCATTTGAGAAGCCATCCTTGTGTAATTGGATGTTAGGAGTAAAAAATTATCTTTTTTTTTTTAACTAAATTTTTTTCATCGATCTTATTCAATTCACTAGAGTTCTTGATGTATAGTTTCTTCGTCCGTCTTCTTTTCTTCCGTCGTGTCGCTACCTTCTAATACTAATTTCTCTTCTTGCGAATCAGTTGATTCGGTTTCACTATCGGGAACTGTTTTTGTTTCCTCTTCAGTCTTATTTTTTTCTGATTCTGGAAGAGATTTAGAATTATTGGAATCTTTTGTTTTATTCCCGGCGGTAGCATTCTCCGTTGCATTTACAACTGGCTCTTGTTTTGGCTTCCAAATCTTTGCCTTATTGAGCAAGTATTTCACTTCACGATCGAGGAGTGCCATTTTATTAGCCATGTCACGTACTTTGAATGGCACTGCTGCATTCAAAGCAGTTTCGGCGAACGTGCGTTTTACCAAATCAAAGTAGTCCTGAAAAGTAGAAATTTTCTTTTAATCATTTAAAAAACTATTTGCGGGCTCGAATTTAAAAATTTAAAAATTTTGGACTTTACAGACCAATTACTGACAAAAATAAAAGCAGCCCGAGTCAAATAAAAAAACATTTTATTTAAAATTATAAATTAAATTTTGAATAACTATAAAACATGAAGATATCGATAACTCCGGTCTTCGACTCGGAGTGATCGCTTTCTTCATGTTTCATAATAATTCAAGATACCCGAGTGATAAAATCAATTGTAAATAAATAAATTTATTTAGTTTTTGTAAATAAATTATAAATATCATTATTTTATATTATAAGAATATTGTACTTTTTCAAAATTATTTTCATAATTTCAATTTAATTATTATTTTCAAGAAATTTTAACGAAAATTCTTTTTTGAAATCAATTAATTTTCGAAAAAGTTCTCTGACAATATATAAAAAAAATTCAATTCAACTTTTTCAAAAAAAATAATTTCAAAAATTTAATTATTTCCAAAAATTCACGCTAGATTGCATTTAATATTCAATTATTACCTATCTGAAAATTTAACTGAAATTCATTTTTAAATCAATTTTTATTAGAAAATTCTACTAGAATTCAATTATTTAAATACAAAAATAAATAATTCAATGTTTCTTAAAATGCAATTCTCAGTAAAGAAATTTATCAACAAAAATTTTTAATAATTGAACTCTTCCTACGATTTTTAATAAAATTTTTAATAATAATTACATTTTCCGCGAAATTCGATTAAAATTGTTTTAAAAATAATTGAATTTGAGTAAAAAATTTTATTATTTATGAAAATAATTAAAATCTTGCAGAGAATTATATTAACATTTTGAAAAATAATTGAATTCCTGAGAACAACTTTATTTCTTATGAAAATAATTGAAGAATTAAATTGAATTGAATTGAAAAATAATTGACTGTTTGCGAAGAAATTTCTCAAAGTTTATTCAAATAATTGAATTCCCATGAAAACTTTATTATTAGTGAAAATAATGTAATTTCAGTAAAGAATTTTATTATTTATGAAAATTAATTAATTTTTGCTAACGAAATATAGTACATATTTATGAAAATAATTGGATTTTTGCGAAGAGTTTTATTAAAATTTTAAAAAATAATTGAATTCCTGAGAATAATTTGATTATTTATGAAAATAATTGAATGTTTGCGAAGAATTTTATCAAAATTTATTTAAATAATTGAATTCCTGTAAAAACTTTAATATTTCTAAAAATAATTGAATTTTAGAAAATTTTATTATTGATGAAAATAATTGAATTTTTGCGAAGATTCTTTTGAATATTTTTTAAAAATAATTAAATTTTTTAGTAGTATTTTATTACCATTTTTTGAAATAAGTGAATTATTTTTGAAAATTTTATTAAAATAGTTGATATTGAAAATTATGGAATTGAGGAAATTTTTTGAAAATATGTAATTGAATTTTTGACAAGAATTTTATTCAAATTTTTGAAAATAATAAAATTTCTTCAATAATTTGTAACTTTTCCAAAATTAAATTTTTTTTAGTATTTTTAACTAACATTTTTCTATAAATCCATTATTTTTAATAATTTTTTAAAAAGTTTTTTGATAATTTTTAATTTTTTTTGCTTATACCTAACTGAAATTCATTATCATAATTGTGTTCCTAAAAAGAATTTTATTACTTTTTATTATTTAATTGTTGCGAAGAAATTTATAAAAAATTTGTAAATAATTGAATTCCTGTGAAATTTTTATTATTTTATGAAAATAATTAAATGTTTACGTAGAATTTTATTAACATTTTTTTAAATTGTAGGTAATTGAATTCTTTTGGAAAATTTTATTAAAATAGTAGATATTGAAAATCATTGAATTGAGGAAAATTTTTGAAAATAATTGAATATTTGCCAAGAATTTTATTAAAATTTTTGAAAATAATTGAATTTTGGAGAAGAATTTTATTATTTCTAAAGATAATTGAAATTTTAACGAGAATTTTTTTAAATTTTTAAACATAATTAAATTTCTGTGAAGAATTTTTTTACTTTTAAAAATAATTGAATTTCTGCAATCGTTTGTAATTTCTCTAAAATTCTCCAAATGATATCATACAATTTACGAACTTTTCTTTCTTTTTCAATCAAATTACGGACCTTTTTTTTTAAAAAAAAACGGACTTTTACGGATTTGAAGCAAATTTACGGACCTAGTTCGAGCCCTGCTATTTCAAATATTTTCTTTTTTATTATTATTATATAATTGAATTTGTAATATTGTAAGTAGTAACACGAATTGATGTTTCTTTTTTTTTATTCTGCCAAATTTTATATTCTTTTTTTTTCTCTTAATAAAGGGTAAATTTTGTAAACCCGTTTATATGAAATAAATTATCAAAATAATTGTGCGCGATAAAAAAAATAATTGTGCTTAACTTTTTTTTTCAATTCAAGGTATAGTAGTTTTTTAATGACTGACCTGTGTTTCGTTGATGACTTTTTCCAGTGTTTCAATTTCGACGTCAGTGAAAATTTCACTGGATTTATTCAAATTGCGCATGTTGTGCAAGAAAACTCGGCTTCCGTTTAACATGGACTTCATTCCCTTAATCACTTCGGGTCTTTCTCTGTGTTCGAAAACTCGTTCGTATAATTCGTTCGTCAGTGTTTTGAGGGACGCTAATTTTTCTTCGTAAACATCGGCAGTCGCATCGAATCCATCTTCGTATAACCATTCAGAAACTTCGCTGCATGATTTAATGATTTTTTCCGTTTCCTCTGGTGTTGTGGCCACTTTATATTCTTCAGATTCCAATTTTTGTTGTGCATCAATGACAAATGATTCCAAATTATTTAAAGCCGTTTCGCGCCTCGTTTTTTCTTTATCGAATTCGTTCAATGCTTTTATCCTAAATAAATTTACATTATTAGTTTAACAAGAAAAATATTTCTTTTCGGAAAAGAAAAAAAAAATAGAAATTTACTGATATAATTAAATCTATATTTATGGCAAATTAAATTAATGAAATTAATACTATAATTAGGGGTGCGTAATTTTAATTTTAATTCGATTATTATTTCCTTTGATAAATAATTAATTAGAGAAAGGGAAAATTTATGAATATTGTATAAAAACTTACTTTTCGAGTGATTTGGTGAATTGACTTTCTTCCAAGGGCAACGGTCCAAATTTAGTTTCCTCAGAAACGATTGGTTCCTTCAGTGTGATAATTGTTGGTTTCTTTTCTTTTTCTGCTTTTTCCGTTTTGTTTGTAGATTTATCTTCAGCTGGTTTCTCTGGTTTTGTCTCGTTCTTCTTCTGTTCCTTCTCTTTGTCTTCAGTTTCCTTCTTCAATTCGGGATATTCGGGCTCTTCGTGCACAGGTTTGATGTTTTCTTTCACAGGTTCTTCTACTTTTTCCACTGTCTCCTTATCTTCAGAACCTGAAACATTATCACGAACAATTACAAATTAAAATCTTATTTAAAATTTATTTAATTTAAATATTAATTACCGTATGTCTTTTTTTTATTTACACAAAAATTATCTATCAAGCATGCAGTTATTTTACCAACAACCAACCTCCAAAGAATTTACTGATTGTCGAACCTAATTTCGAGAAGGTACCTTCTTCTTCAGTAGCTAGACTTGTCTTCTCCGATACCAATTCCGTATTAATTAGATTGAGAATTCCACTCTCGTCCAAAGCGAAATGAGCTTTAATTCCTTTACTCTCGGCGCTTTCTTTTGCATGCTTCGACAAAGCTTCGGAAACTCCTTTCAATTTAATAACTGATATGTTCAAGTTACCGAGAGCTCTAAAAGTATAAAATGAAAAATTTGTTAGTGAACGAAATAGTTTTTAATTTTTATTTTTGAAAAGGGAAAAAAATTAGGGAAAATTCTTACTCTAATTCTTCAGCTGGCAAACTGTCCAAATCAGCATAATTGACGTTAAATTCAAAATCTTCCGTGTGTTTGTTGAAGGTAAGGATTTTCTTTTGTGGAAAAGCGTTCATTTTACTGAACAACGTTCTCTTTACCTACGAAATAAAATCGTAATTAATTGAAAATATTTCATTGTCAAAAAATTATGTCCCTACAGTTTCGAACATTTAAAGGAACGACGATATTTTTATTACTCTTTTTTATTTTTGAATTTTATTCGGTATAAAATATTTTCTTAATAATTAAATTCATTTTTAACTAAATAAATGTTCGATTACGATATTTTACAATTCTGTTAAGTAATTTTTAAAAATGTTTGAATACAAAAAAAGTATTTCATTCATTAGAACTTAGATTTTTGGAAAATTTTAATAATTAAAATTCTTCTGAAAATAGTTCCATTTGCTAATAAATTAAATTAATTATTGAAAATAATTGAATTTTGGAAAAGTTACAAATGATTGCAGAAATTCAATTCTTTTCAAAAGTAATAAAATTCATCGCAGAAATTCAATTATGTTCAAAAATTGAAAAAAATTCTCGTCAAAATTTCAATTATCTTTATAAATAATAAAATTTTTCTCCGAAATTCAATTATTTTCAAAAATTTCCCTCAATTCAATGATTTTCAATATCTAATATTTTAATAAAATTTTCCAAAAGAATTCAATTATTTCGAAAAAAATTTTAATAAAATTCTACGCAAACAGTTAATTATTTTCATAAATAAGAAAAATTTCACGGGAATTCAATTATTTTCATCAATAATACAATTCTTTACTTAAATTCAATTATTGTCAGAAATAATAAAGTTTTTACGGAAATTCAAAATTTTTTAAATAAATTTTGATAAAATTCTTCGCAAACATTCAATTATTTTCATAAATAATAAAGTTGTTCACAAGAATTCAATTATTTTCCAAAATTTTAATAAAATTCTTCTAAGAAATTCAATTGCTTTCAAAAATTGTAACTAAATTCATTGCAAAAATTCAATTATTTTCACAAACAATAAAGTTTTCCCTGAAATTCAATTATTTAAAATAAATTTTGATAAAATTCTTCGCAAACATTCATTAATATTATTTTCAAAAATTTCGATAAAATTCCTTATAAAAATTCAATTTTAATGAATTATGAAATTTTTATTTAAATAATTTTGAATTCTCGTAAAAATTTTCTAATAAAAATTTATTTAAAATTTTAGATAACAATAAAATGTTAGAAGCATTATAGAATTAATTTTTACAAATAATTGAATTTGGAAAAGGTTTCAAATTCAAATCTTGGAAAATTATAATTTTTTGTACTTTTAATTTGTGAATTTACTAGTAACTTTTTTATTTTTTAAATTTTAATTCCAATTCTGTTGAAATTAGTTGAATTTTCCAATATGTATTTAATTATTGATTATTTAATCAATGAAAATAATTTATTTCGAGAGAAATTTTAGTTCAAAATTCTCTTAAAAAAATAATAGAATTTAGGAGAATTTACAAATAATAAAATTCACCGCAGAATTTCATCTTTTTTAAATACAATTTTAATCAAATTTTTCGAAAAATGTAATTATTCTTAAAAATTTTATTAAAATTCGTCGAATGAATTTAATTATTTAAAAATTTGTTGATAAAATTCTTTATGAAAATTCAATTTTGAGAAATATTCAATTATTCAATAAATTATTTATTTTTATATTGAAATAATTGAGTAAAAATTACTTGAAAATGAATTTCAGTTAGAATTTTAGATTGAATATTAAAAACATTATAGCGTGGATTTTTAGAAATAATCGAATTTTAAAATCGTTTCAAATTAAAATCTTTGAAAATCTGAATTTTTCATACTTTTAACTAACAATTCTGTAGAATTCATTTCTTTTTAAAGTTTAATTGAATTTTTTTTTAAATAATTAATTTAATAATTCATTATTTTTGAAAAAGTTTAATGTCATTTTTTTTTAAATTATTTGAAGTTTTTATTTTCTAATATTTAATTCAAGTATTTCCGAATAATCGAAATTTCGGTTAATTGAATTGTAGACAAATGGATTTAAAAATTGTAGAAAATAATAATTTAATTGAAATGATGGAAATCATTTTTGAAGAAGTTACGTTAATATTATTCTTCTAATATAAAATAATGATTTTATCACGCGGTCATCTGTAATTAATTACAAAATATTCTTACAAATTATTAAATTTTAAAAGGTTTCAATATTCAATTCGAAATTTTGGAAAATTGATTTAATTCCTATGAAAAAATAATGATTAAATATTTATTTAAAAAGTAGTGTCAATTAACTAACCTGTTTCACTTTATTGTTGGAGTTTCTGTCAAAAACAACTTGTATCGGAAATAGAACAGCATCTTTAGTAATGAATTTCTTGACCTTAAAGCCCTGACTAAGATCCGCGGCTTTGTAAACTGCTCCCAAAGTAGCAGCTTCATCAGTGTTGATATTTTTCGACAACTCAATTTTAACAAATTCAGCGAGCATGTCTTGAACTTTTGGCACTCGAGTGCCAGCACCGACGAGCACCACTTGTGTCATTAAATCCATTGTTAAAGCTAGAAAGAAAAAAAGTAATTAAAAATCAAAAAACTCGTAAATCGAAAAACAATTTTCATTTTTTGTCTTCTACTCACCCGATGTTTTTAAAGCCTCCTTGATAGGATTAACAGCACGTTCAAACAGATCAGCACACAATTCCTCAAATTTCTCTCTCGTGACTAACAATTTAAAATCATGCTCATCAATAAGTCCCTCGACTTGTGCATAAAATTCCGAATTTGCGCTGAGAATTAATTTCACTCGTCCAGCTTCCTTGAACAATTTGGCCATTGCCCGAGGATTCTTGAACACCGAATTCGGCGTCTTTTTCAAAGCGTCAAATTCCCTTGCAAAATATTCTTGCAATCTAATTTGAAATTCAATACCGCCGAGAGTTCGATCGTAACCAACTCCCACGATACTGACCTGTGGATGAGTTTCCACAAATCCTCTCTCTTTTGTCTTCACATTCTGATAGCTGACAACTGTTGCTGTTGTTGTACTAGCACCCATATCGTAGAACATAATGTAATGTGCGGTATCGTTGATATTTTTGCTATGAAAAATTCCGTAATTTAAGGCAACGGCAGCGTAGTCATTGAAAAGTTGAAGAACCTTAATGCCAGCGAGTTCGGCAGCTTTTAGGACTGCTTTTCTCTCGGCTTGGTTGAAAAAACCCGGTACGGTAATGACTGCTTCCTTTATTGTCTGAGTGGCGGACTTCTCAGCCATTTCTTTAGCGTGATACAAAATTTGAGCGAGAAGCTCCTCTGGAGTGTAGGTTGTATTCTCGTTTAGTTGAAACATTATTGTATTGCGTTCCTTGTCTTCGACAATGTTGTGATAGGGAAAACGTTTCTTGTACAATTGCACCATTGGATTGTCGATTGATTTTCCCAGTAAATCGAGAATGTAGGAGAAACAATTTTGGGGAAATCGTACGCCAACCACTTGAGCGTCCTCGCCGAATGTTCGCTCGTCATTTCGAAATGCAATTGCAACTGGGGTTTTTCTTTTTGATTCCTTGTTCAATGCAATTTCCATCGGCACTCCAGGCTGAAAGTATTTAAATTATTATTAAAATTGTTTTTAAATTATTATTAAAATTGTTTTTAAATTATTATTAAAATGGTTTTTAAATTATTATTCAAATTGTTTCTAAATTATTATTAAAATTGTTTTTAAATTATTATTAAAATTACTTAAAATTATTTTACAGGCCTCGAATCGACTTTAACGAGAAAAAAAATATTTTAATAAAATTTTCTAAAAGAATTCATTTATTTAAAAAAATGTTAATAAAATTCTACGGAAACATTTAATTATTTTCATAAATTATTTATAAAATTTTATAATTATTCTTTTTTATAAATTTCTTCGCAATAATTTTTCATAAAACTTTCATTAAAATTCTTCGCACAAATTGAATTATTTTCATCAACAATAAAATTTTCTGAAATTCAATTACTATTTAGAAGTATTAAAGTTTTTACGGGAATTCAATTATTTAAATAAAATTTTGATAAAATTCTTCGCAAACATTCATATTTTTTTCATAAATAAAAAAGTTGTCTCAGGAATTCAATTATTTTTCAAAATTTTAATAAAATTCTTCGCAAAAATTCAATTATTTTCATAAATAATACAATTCTTTACTGAAATTCAATTGTTCTTAATACACAATTTAAAATAAATTCCTTGATAATAGTAATTATTCATAAAAATTATATTAAAATTCTCGGAAAGGATTCGATATTCTTTTCAAAAATTTTGATAAAATTCATTATAAAAATTCAATTTTAAGAAATATTCAATTATTCAATAAATTAGCTATTTTTATATTGAAATAATTTAATTCTTGTAGAATTTTCTAATAAAAATTGATTTGAAAATGAGTTTTAGTTAAAATTTTAGATAACATAGTTAAATAATAAAGACATTGTAGCAAAAAAAGTTTTTCGATTAAAAATAGAAAAAAAGTCGAAAAAGTCGTTTATTTAATTTAGTGTTGTCACAAAATTTTTTTTTGTATTTCCCTGATTTTTCACTGATTTTTAAATTCAATTAATCAAAACATGAATAATTTTGCTAAATAAATATTTAAATAATTCTTTTTTCTTTTTTCACAAGAAATAAAATTAAAAAAATTTCAACATTCTAAAATTTAATAATTTTTAAAAATTAAAACTATAACCGTTCTAAAAATTCAATTATTTTCTACAATTTTTAATTAAACTTCATCTCTAAATCAATTATCTATATTAATTTTTAATAATTAATTTAATTTTCGAAAGTTCTTCTAGAATTCAATTATTTAAATACAAAAATTCAATTTTTTGTAATAATTAAAAACTGTCCATTTTTCTTTTTAAAAATATTAAAAAATAGAATATTTTCAAAAATTGTAATAAAGAAATTCGTAAAATTAACTTTTTAAAAATATTTTTAAATAATTTTTGAAAGACAACAGTTTTACAATTACATACAATTAAAAAATGTCTAAAAAATTGAAATTTTCTAAAATCTTTAAAAAAAAATTTTAATTTAGTAAAATCTTTGAAAAATAATTGAAATTTGATAAAATCTTATAAAAATAATTATTTTTAGAACCTAATTTTCATTAATATTAATTTTTATTGAATTTACACTTGAAGATTATTCATTCAAATTTTTGAGAATTCAATTATTTCCAAAATTTTCAATTAAAATTCTTTAAAAATCAATTTTAAAAAATTGTAATAAAATACTTTTTTCAAAACTATTTTAATATTATTTTTAGAACCTAATTTTCATTAATTTTCACTTTTATTGAATTTACACTTGAAGATTATTCATTAGAATTTTTGAGAATTCAATTATTTCGAAAATTCTCAATTAAAATTCTTTAAAAATTAATTTTTAAAAATTATAATAAAATACTTGAAAAAATTATTTATTTTCAATTAAATTTTACAAAATTTCAATTATTAAAAATCTTTTTAAAATTATATTTCAATAATTTAATTAGAAAAATTATTGAAAAATAAAAATTTCAAATATTTGTCTGTAGTTATGCTTTTCACACTATAAAAATCGAAATAAGTTGCATTTTTTATACTAAAAAATTTGGTATTTTGTCGAAAAATTTGGAAGAACACTGGTCAAGTTCACAACGTTTATAAACAACGATTTTAAAGAAAAAAAATTGTTGTATTCAAAAGAATAGAAAAAATTTTTCTTTTTAGGTAAAAACTTTTTTTTAACAATATTTCTTTATCATCAATTTAAGTACTAAAAATTTGTTAATAAAAAGTATTGTTTTCTGCGTAACAAATATTTTTTTCCTCCAATCGTTGAATCGTAAACGTAGCAAATTTCAACCAAGACAAATTTTCTAATATTTTTTGCTAAAAATAAAATGTTTCGAAATAAAATATATGCTTTATTAATTTTTTAATTATTTTAATTACATACAAATCAATTAACAAAATTTATTATTGAAATTAAAAAAATATTTTAATGCTTATAACTACAATAGAAAAAAAAGAAAATAATTAAAATATATCTAAAAATAAAATAATGTCAATATTAAATAATTCTGAGCTAAATAGAAAATTTTACAAATAAACCAAAAAAATACGTATGGTTAAAAGTAAAAAAAGATTTGACGCATGGTTTTGTCGCAGTATGGCTAGAACAAAACCTTTTTGGTTTTTTTTGTACAACCCTCAAGAAAATTCCCCCTGGGACAAAAACGAATTTTACCAAAAATATACAAAAATAATTTCTTTTTTTTTAATTAACAACAACACTTACCGAGACAATAGCAACTTTAAACCATTCACTGCCAATATCAACACTCATAACAGCCAGTCCATTGCTTTTGTCGAATAACAAGCAAATTGTGAATAACGACAAAGCAATAAGTGAAATATTTTTGAATTTCATTGTGATCTGCAAGTAAAAAAATTAATTTCTTAAAGTCAATATACAAATACAATGAAAATAGCCACGATGTATGTGTCCCTCTCTTGTCATGCTGTCAAAAATTTGGTTATAGTATAAGTACAACCGGTAGTTTCATTTTTTCTATATTTATTAGCTTTCAAGTGAGAAATATTCTCCTCTTACCTTTTTATTTTCTTGTATTGCACTTAAAAAAAGTTTAATAATCTCTCCACCATTTGAACTAAATAAATTTTACGGGTATAAACTTATGAGGCTGAAAACAGTTGTCTGTCTTCAGAAGATCTGTCGGCTGCAATGAAACATGTAATAGTGTGGCATAACCTGATTGGTAACTCTGTTCCAGATGCGACGTTCCTATTGGTCCGCGTTGACAAAATATTCTGCCAAAATTACAAATTTCTTGAATCTTCAAATATTTACTGTCGCTTCCAATTATAGTTCTATTCTATTAATTTTAATCAATTTTTTAGTATTTTAAAATTTGGTATTATAAAAAATTTTTTTTGATGGGGAATAAATAATTTAATTAATTTTTTCTTATTACTTTCTATAATGACGATATTTGTAAACAAGATTATGCAACTCGGATGTTTATTTACAAATTTAATTAGCACAAGATTGTAAAGTCGGATTTTCTCCGTTATTATTATTTTTTTTTTTTATTAATTATTTGTTAATTTTTCTGCATTACTTTAATTATATTTATTTTTTGTTTTGCTGTTTTATTCTTTTTGACTTAATTAAACATTTCTGCATTACTTTAATTATATTTATTTTTCGTATTTTGTTTTTTCATTCTTTTCGACTTAATACTTAGAAGTGGATTTTTCGTTTTTGGTCACTTACTCAAGAGTCTGTGAACAAATAATTTGTTTCTGTCAGAAGACTTTATTTTAATGTAAATACAGAGCGTAAAATGAGTAATTAATTTTTATACAAGTAGATGACTAAATATTATCAGTACTTATGGGAAATATTTTTGTTATCGTATATAATTTTAAACTTAAATGTATAAAGTTTTATTAAGTAACTTAATGATAATTTTCATTGCTATACAAATACTGAAAGAAAATTAATTCCAACTGTCCTCAGTTCGGCCAAATTTGTAAATTAGTGATCCCATGAAAATGAATACGTTTTGTAAAAATAAACCTACTCCGGGCCAATTATGTTTGTCACCTGCAATAAAATAGAAAATATGTATTTTTAATCGTACCAAGAGTCAAATATTTCAAATTCAGTTCATTTGAATTTTCAAAATTTATATTTCAAAAATTAGTTTCAAAAACTTTTTTCGAAAAATACTTTTATAAAGTTTTGAACGTTCACATAAACAGAATTTATTTGTTTCTTCTTTAAACTTTAAATAATTAAATTATAAAATAATTCTTCTTTAAAGGAAAATTCCTTATGAAAATAATTTTTTTGAATTTTTAATTTGACTTTCTCAATATGATTCTAAAGAAGAGTTGAAAGAAGTGGAGAATTTTGAAAAATTCAAATAATATACTAACCAATTGTCACATAATTTGCGAATAAAATCCAACAGGCAGCAATCAATGCTGCAAAAGCCATTACAAATCCAACAAAAAGCCAGCCTCTTGCTCCTCTTGTTCCTAGACAGCCACCATCGTAATTGTCTCCTCTCATTTGAGCATTCGTTACGGAATTGACCCTGAAAGTAAAAAAAAATTCATTTTTGCTAAAACTTTTATTCACATTAGCTAGAAAGGAATAAATATTTAATTTTTTCAAATTACAAAATTTTTCGAGCACTCCAAAGGAAACACTAGATTTTTGACAAAATAATTATTTTATTCTTACGCACATAAAGAGGGATATTGTCCCGAATATTCCACATAAATGATAGGCTCCATTCATTTCTGATGGGAATTTTGCATTGGCATCAATAATAAGCCACCATCCTGTAAAAAACTGGAAAAAAATAATACAATTAAAAACTTATTTGTTATTTTTACCTTGAAAGTAAATACAAAAATATTTTCTTTTTGTTAATTTAAAAAAAAAGTTTTTTTTAATTATTTTGTAATAATGTTTAGGCCTTTTCTATTACAAAATAAGCACAAAGATAATTAAAAGTACTAAAAAGTACCAATAATAGAATTACTTAAAGTACAAGTAATAAAATTACTTTTCTTTCTTTTGGTTAAATGGCCTCTGGTCCAATAAAATTACTAAAATTACAAGTAATAAAATTACTAAAATTACAAGTAATAAAATTACTAAAAGTACAAGTAATAAAATGACTAAAAGTACAAGTAATAAAATTACTAAAAGTACTAAATACTAAATGAACCAAAAATTCTCGAAAAAAGAATGCAAACAACCAAAAAATGGATTACAAGTAAAATTTAATCTACATCTACATCTACAGAAATTTAATCTTTAAATTCTTGAAATAAATAATCCACAGGTATTCTATTTACGGTATAACCTAAAAATAATTATTTTTCCACCTTCTTGATTGAAATTGCATGTATTTATTGACAACAACTATTAATTTGAGTAGTTTTCTAAAAAATAAAATATCGTATAGAAGCTTTTAGAATATTATTTTTTAATTTCGAAAAGAAAGGAAAGGGGTAAAGATAAACAAAGTGAAAAATTTGTTACCAAAGTTCCTGCAATCATTGAAACTATCGTATTTCTCTTTTCTCCAGACTCAAACCAAGTACATGGTGGAATTTGTATATTTTCTAGACACGAAGTCATTTTGTTTAATAATTTTTTTTTTATTTTTCTATAAAAAATTGACAGAAATAATAGTAGGGTAGAAAATGACAGTTCTAATTGATTAAAAAATGTGACTCATAGAGTAGAAACGGTGCGCAAATAAGTAAAAATTTTCCGGGGTGTTGAGACCCTTTTGCAAGTTACAGTATTGTATTAATTGCTACTTTATCGGGTAATGATAAAGAAAATATGTTTAAATTTCGTATAAAAACAAATAAAATCTTTTCCATCTTTTTTATAAAAGAAATTTTTTAATTTCTATCTATGTATACATTGTACATATTTTACAAAGAGATTATCATACAAATTTGTTTTTAACAAAAATTATTTATAACTGAGATTTTTCTGTCTTATTCACGGAGAAGTTTCCAGCTTTTTGATTCCAAATTGTTTTACAGTGTAAATTTTCATGTCAAAAGTGTCTAAAAATTCATTTGTAAATAAGATTGATTAGTGTTTGAGTGAAATTAATTCCCCTGGAATTTTGACAATAACAGGATTTTCACAGGACAGTAAAGTAAGAAAATTTTATCCATTTTATCCAAAGTATCAAAAAAAAATATCAATTTTTTCCATTTATTCAAAATAAAACTTTGAGGTTAACGATCACTCCGAGTCAAAATGACTCGGAGTGATCATTAACCTCAAAGTTTTTATTTATAATTAATGTAATTAATTTTACTCATTTTAATTAAGACTACCGAGTGTGATAAAGTCAAAAAATTACTTTCTAAATATTTGTTTAACAAAAATTATTGAATTTTTGAATAATTTAACGTAGAAATTCTAGAAAAAAATAGCTTTTAAAAAATTGTAATCTCATCTAGGTATAAATAAAAATTATTTGATTCAATTAAATATTTTTTTAATTATAGACAAGTAATTATTTGAATCAAATCAATTTTTTTTTTTTTTTTTTTTTTTGGTAACATTATAAGATTATTAATGTTGTTTTTATAACTTAGTTTTTTTAATACAAAAAAGTGAATTTTTAATTTTTCTCCCTAAGGAAATTCCGAATAATCGGGCCAATTTTCCAGAGGATTTTTCTTCCTAGCCGGATAAATTTTCGCATCTCTCCACTGCCATTCACGATCTTTGGTTTTATCTTCTTCATATTCTAAGCATCTTATTCCATAGAGTGATCTGGAAAATTTTTTAATTTGACAATTAATGTTCCTTTTATTAAAAATATATATAGAAAACAAATTTAGAAAAAAGAAATTTGTATTTATTTGTATTTATTTTTTCTATTTTGCCAAAATTTTGAACGTTCTAATGAATAACCGAAATTTATTTAAGTATTTTTATTTATTTGGTTTGAGTAAATTTTTTTTGGTTTGAATAAATTTTTCTTGGTTTAAATAAATTTTATTGTGGTTCAAATAAAAATTTTGTGTCGAAGAAAGTTTTTATTTAATTAAATATTTCGAAACAAATATTTAAAACAAATTAATAATTTAGTAGGCTCCGAAACAAATATACTTTTAATTGACTCAACAAAAATTATATTTGGTTAAAACAAAACTTTTTTTGTGTATAATTTTTTGAATAATTATTTATGTTAAAAAATATTTAACATAAATATTTTTTTATGTTCATTTAAGTTTACTCGAACGTTCCGAATTTTCGGTTGAGCATAATTTAAAAATATAATCATAATTATTTGCAAAAAAAAAAAATAATTACAGTTCGTTCAGTTTGCAAATAGCTGGATAATCTTCTTTGAAACATTGTGGCCTCAGAATGTTGAAATAAGTTTTTCCAATACTCAGTGAAATTGGAGAACGAGCTTTTTTTAAACATTCGTGAAACTCTTCGTCACAAGTGCAATGTGATCTGAAAAACGAGTATAAATTTTTTCCGCATGATAATTATAAAAAATTTTAGAATATTACAAAGCAAGATAGGTATTTTTTGCATATTATTATTTTATTATTATTATTTACTATTATTTTTTTACCTTACAAAAAGACCAACATTACTGAGACCATAATTTGTGTGTCCAGGATAAATTTTGTTTTGACAATTATCATGATTTCTGCAACAATAGTCAGTTTCTCTAAAATATCCTAATTCCTCTTCGTTTGTTGCAACATCTCCTGCTCCGCACCAAAGTGTTCCTATTGTGGAAGTGTCGAATTTTTTAGTGTCGAAATTGTATAAACAATTTATATGCCATTATATTATTAATAACAATTTATATTTCGTTAATTCAACCGAAATTTCGTTGTTTTAGACAAATTTTCTTCTGAATAGTTATTATAGTACCAACCTGGAAAAATTCCTCGAAATTTGCCTTTAGCCTTGTTGAATTTTTCTCGAACTTCTGGACTGTTAGATGGAGGAGATGTTAAACCACCAAATAATTCTTTGAATAGGGTTTCGGCGTACGTTATTGAACAAAGAGCCGCATTAGTTTCACTACATTTTACTACCAATTCAGTCAGCAAAAAAAGTTGAAGAAGAAAAACGATTAAACGATTTATCAGCATCTTCATAAGTGTTGTAGTTCAACACTCAAAATAGTTTATTAAATATTTTATCAGTTTATTCAAAATTTGAACTTTTAACTGTAGTGATAGAACAGATGAACTATAAAGAACTTAAATTCATAAAATATAAAATTGTTTTAAAGATCTATCACATCATAATTATAATAATATGCTACACAAGTTACATCATTTGTTGCAGTTCTAGTTTCAAAAAGCAATTGATATTTTAATTTTATAATAATTACGGCATTATTTATATTATTTTTTCTATAAAAATTGAAAGTTTCTTTCTCTCAGCTATCGCACAAAAGACTAGTATAGTAGTGAGTCAACAAAACTTTTAATGCCACTGCGCTACAGATTCTGTGACTAATTTTAAACAAAATTATATGTAAATCATGATAATGCTTAAAATATTATAATTTCGTAAAATGTTTTTATCTTATCTTAAACTATATATTTGTTTCATCATACAATTAACGCAATAAACTTTTTTCCATCTATAGTACAAAATAAACGAAGGATTGAAATATCCATATAATTCTTTTGTTCTTTATTGAACGAATTTTAAAGTAAGTTAAAAATACAGAATTTAAACTGTTTGTTTCAAAACATTGAATGCTGAGAAAGATGCTCGCAGAATCTAAAAATTGTTTATTCAATATTTATTAATATTTAGTTAGATTAATATTATTAAGTTTAATAAATAATTATTTTGCATAAAATGCGCACTTACTTTAACAAACGAGTCCAAATTAACAGAAATTAATGAACCGACTGAAATGATTATTGGTCGTGATGACCTAATAATTAAAATAACGATACATTTTCTTGTTTCTTTTTCAAGAGAGAGCCAATTTGATGAATGTAGTTCAGCGCTCTAATAAAAATATTAAATTTACTTTTCATTTATAAAGTCCACAGTATTATAAATTATAATAAAAATATTAACGAAATTGTATGTAAAATAATAAATCGATGTACATTAATTAAACTTACGTTCAGCATTAGTAAATTTCCATACCAGCAATATGCAAATAATTGAAATAACATTGCCGAAAGGTACGGATAAATAATCATGGATGTGGAATCGAAGGCTTTTGATTTTGATAGTTTAATAATGCTAAAGCATATTACCACCAGACTTAGAAGAAATTGAAAAAATAAAATTTCTACAAACGTTTCTTTTAATTGCTTGGAAATCCTTGAAAATTGTTACAAAATTATTAAAAATGATTTATCATTTAGTAACAAAAGGCTAATTTCGAAAAATTTAATTATTTGTAAAATTTTGTTATAACATTTGTTAGTAATAACAATAAAAAATATAATGTTCGACTTACCGAAATATTGCATTATGATGTTCAATAATTTCCCCAATTAAATGTTTTTCAATATTTACTTTATCAACTATGCTCTTTGGCTCATTAGCATTTTGAACTTTACAAGGTAAAGTTTTCAATCTGTTTTGTAAAAATTTTAATTGACAACAGATTTGAATAATTATTCCTGGTATTAAAGTGTCACTACATATGTGACAGCTAGACATTAATAAATGGCCGAAAAATTCGTGAATAAATGTAATCCAAAAGTGTAAACCAATTTTTAGATCGTATGGTCGCCAAACATTTAGAGCTTTTATTCTCTCATTTCTATCAACGAGAAAAACACTTCCATTCAGTGTTATTAAAGATATGCAGACTATAAAAAAATACACGTTTATGATTTGCCTATAAAAGAAAGTAAATATAATAATTAATTACTTAATTAATTGCATCAGGTGATTTTTAATAAAAATATTTTACTTAGCCTCTTCGTCAAATTCGGCTTGAATTTGTTCTTCCTTTGAATCTTCTGCCTTATACTCCGCCAGTGAATTTAAAAGATATAAAATCTTTTTTCTTCTTATCAATATCACCGATATTTTAATACAACCATTCAAAAGTGTAAAAAGTAAGAATAAATTTTCAAATAACGAATCTTTTATGTCGTCATAAGAAAAAAATGTCACACACACTAATGACAGTGTCATTGTAATGATTATAAACATAACAAGAATTTTGTACAGAAGGTATAAAATTTTTAAGTAAAAAGATAAATCGTACGGTTGCCATAGGCCACAAACTGTCATCAATCTAAACGTTAGAGGAAGAATATCTTTTATTTTTCTCTTTGTCAAAGTATTTTTATTTTCCATCAAAATATCTAGGGACATACTTTCAAAATGATAGCAAACCCAAAGTACTTTTATTTTCCATTAAAATATCTGGGGACTAAAATTAAAATCATGTATATCATCTATCAAAATTATAGCAGATTTTTTCATAGTTTTAATTTTATTTCCAATAGTAGATTATAAACTATTCTTATATAAAATAAGAATTTTTTATTACAAATTTTTTTTTAAATTAAAATTATAATTCATCTACAAGCGAGCAAAAATTGTTATTGTTTTAAAGTTAAAAATTATATCTCTATTGAAACAGTCATTGATGTAACTATGTAGATATTATTCATTTTACTGTTTCTAATACAATCATTATAATTTTATCATATGTCAACTCCCTGAGATCATTATATATTATAATTTCTAACAAACTTCCTCGTGTGGTACAAAAATAGCCTGATGCGAGGAGATCTTCCCTTCTGTTGTTTTATTATGTAGGAAGTCATTTTCATTGTTTATGTACATTATAAATTGGTCACGTTCGTAACGCTGGAAAATTTTCATGAATAATTAATCTCTAATTATATGCACGCGTATACAGTTTACTATTTGTTATAATACACTATTTGTATAATATAAAGTTATGTTTATCAAATATTACTAGAAAATTGCAGAAAATGTTTTGTTGTTTCTCTTGATCTTATTTGGCTTTTTTTAAAATGAGTATGAAGTCTGCAGTGTTTTTAGAAACGAAAAATAAAAAAAGGAATTCATCTCTTATTTTTTTCTGTGCTTTTTTACGAAATTCTTACTTAATAATTGTTACAAAAAGACAATTGTTCAAAAATAAAATGAATTTTATTAAACTAAAACTAAAACTGTATTATATGAATTAAATAGTGTAAGTTTTTACCTGCTTTAGATAATTTTTTTCCAATCATTCGCTATGCTGCAGAACATTATATGCTGTGTACGAAGCTTTTAATATCTGGAAAAACAAATAATTTTGAAAAAAAAATTTTTAATAATAAATAAAAGTTGTTACACTTACGATTACAAATGAACTCAAGTTAACCAGTATAATTGAGCCAGCAGAAATTAGAATGGGTTTTCCAGTTCTTATCATAATTATTAGTAGACTTTTCTTTGTCTTATTTTCAAAGCAGAGCCAATCTGTTTCGTATGCTGCATCTTGCAAATTATTGCTCTAAAAGATTTTGATTTTGATATTCACAAATTTTTCCGTAAAATCTTTCAAGGAATCTGTACTATACTACACTTTTTAAAATTCTAAACAATAACTTAAAAATTCGAAAAGTTGGCAAAATATCTACTCAGAGCCAAAACATCTTGAAAAGTACATCTTTGAAAAAACATATTATTTACACAAATAAGCAGAACTTTAAAAGTTAAAATTACTTACACACAACATTAATTGATTCCCAAACCAACAGAACAAAAAAAGTTGAATTAAAATGCAGATAATGTATGAGAAAAGTGTCAACAAATTTGCATAATCAAGGGTACTTTGATTCGAAATTTTGTATCCACTAAAGCAAATGATAATTAGGCTCAAGAAAAATTGTGTGACTAATATTTCCATAAATGTATTTTTTAAATGCTCTGCGAATCTGTAGTTAGTAAAAGAAAAATGTAGGATTACAATTATACAAGTTAACGATTATTAATTATAATTGAGGATTTTATTATCAGTTGCATACTGTTCTGCGAATGAGTTTTCAATGTTAACTTAAAAGTATCAAATAGCAACGAATTGATACCAAAAATGTGGATCAAATCATAAAGTGATTCAAATTTTTAATATCAATTTGATCCACACTATGGTATCAATTTGATGCTTTCAAGAAAACTGTGTTGCGAATAAAATGGGTTATAGTTCCATACTGAACATGAATCCTGAGTCGAAAACTTTCCATCACGTCCCGTTTTCGAAAAAAGGGATTAAAAACCCTAAAAATAGGGTTTTTTGTGCAATTTTCGAAAGCATGGTTTAGCCTTTAATTTCTAAAATCAGCAAAGTTTGTAGCACATCAGGATTTAGATATAAAAATCTTCAAAAATGGCAAAAAAACGCTATTTTTAGAAGTTTTAATCCCTTTTCTCGAAAACGTGACAGAAATTTGGTGATTCCGGATTCATGTTTAATTTAATTAAATTTAATTAATGCTTAATTCATCCATTATTTTCCATTTTATTCACAAAAAAAGTTGAAATTTACAGGTCAGTGTTTAAACCTAAAAGGAACAATAAGGATATATTATAATCTAAATTAAAATTACGTTCCCGACTAAACAAATTTTTCGTCTTCTATGCGGACATCTCTAGGACATCCCTAAGAATATCTTAATTTTACCAGATCAGTGGTTATCTATAAATAATATCCTAATACTTTGACACTTAATTAACATCAAAATTTAAAAAGAATTTCATATTCCAAAATTAAAAAGAAAGATTCATTAAAAACTTACTGAAATAATGTATTGTGATGTACGACAGTTTTCGCTATAAAACTCGTCTCCAATTCCTGTTTAGTAATTTTAGAATGTGAATTTTTAAAGTTTCTGATTTGATACGGTAAATCTTGTAAACGATGTTGCAATAATTTTACTTGACAACAGATTTGAATCATAAAACCTGGCACTAGTGTGTCGGCCGATAAATGAACAATGGTTGTCACGAGATGTCCAATGAATTCATGTAGCCATGTTATCCAAAAATTTAACGGTGTTCCCAAATTATAGGGTCGCCAACAATTTAAAATTTTTATTCTCTCATCTCCTGTTTTTGAAAGAACGGCAAGATACATTGACACCACTGCTACTCCCACTGCTGTCGCGTGGATAATAGTAATTTTCCTGCAGTAATGTTTCTTACATTTAAATTCTAAATAGTTCATTTTTCATAGTTTAATAGTCATACTTATATTTATTCAGTATTTATATTTAGATTCAATATTTAGATTTTTTCAGTAAAATCCTGCATCCAGTTATTGCACCCACTTTATTTTTCAAAATTTGATGTTGATTATAAACAAAAAGAATATAGTTAACTTTAAACTTTAATTTTGAAAATTATAAGTGCTTGCTGATAACTGGGTGTCAGTTCAGAAATTGCGGATCTTTTCTTTTTTAAAACATTAAATCTTTTAAAAAGTATCTCAAAAGTATCACAAAATTAAAAAACCACTAAAAATCCTAATTTTGAAAACGATTCTTGAATTTAAATCAATAGTATTTAACATCCTATGTTGTGATTTCAATTGTTGTGACATTCAGTAAAGAATAGTGATGCCTTTAATCTTCAAAAGATGCAGCAATAATTAATCTTTCTATGTCGTTAGGAAAAGAAAAGTTATAATTATTAAAACTCACTTAGCTTCTTTGTCAATGTTTTTCTGTATTTCTTCTTCGGTACTGTCCAAAGGTTGACACATATCAACCAATAAAACGCGCAACATTGATTTTATATGATTTCTTCTTTGTATGATAATTAATGCTTTCACCCAACCGTTAAACAAAGTAAACAATAAAAATGAGTTTTCTACTGTCGCATCTTTAATGTTGTCTGAGAAAATAATCAAAATCATCAACGATACACCTACTGAAAGCATTGTAAAAATCATAAAAATTGAATAGAAAATATAAATAAATTTTAAACGTGTGTCAACAAATGGTTGCCAAAGACCACAAAGTTTCATAAAGAAAAATGTTGCAGGCAAAATATCTCGTATTGTTTTTTTTCCGTTTTCACTACTTTTCTCCAACATCGCGATCTTATTTTTTCTATATCAAATATTACGTATCGATATCAAATATTGATAACAAGATAATTTCAAATAAATAAAATAAACAAAATAAATAAAAATAAAATAAATAAAAGAAATAAAATAATTTTAATAATTTAGTGAATTTTTATAGACTTTAATTTTTCTTCAAAGACCAGAAGCTGAATGTTAGTTTTTGTCCCCACGAAATATTGATCTTTATTTTCAAAGAACGAGCAAATGTTTATAATACAAGTTTTAATCGATGATATCTTAAAAGCAACCCTTATTATTCTATAAGGCAATTTTCTTATGGCTTTTAAAAAAATCCCCTTGCAGGATATAAAATGTATTCGGAAGTAACTTACATATAATTACTGTTACATTATTCAACATTGTCAATATTGTGTTTGACTTTAGCAATATACTTGCATATATTACAGAGGAAATACGTGTATATCTATTTCGTTTTATAAATTTTTCTATACGTACATTTTTTTATACATACAATTTACATTTTTATTTCGAAAATTGATTTTATAAAAGTCAATTTAATTTACATTTTTATTACGAAAATTGATTTTATAAAAGTCAATTTTTTTTTATGAAAATAGAGTAACAATTTTTTTGTTCGATTCCTTTTACACAAAAAATAATTTTTAAAAATCGAATTTCAGTAGAATTTCCCAAATTTATCATTACTTTTTAATGTTTTTAAATACAAAATTGGATCATCAGAAATTTTAAATGTTTAGAAAATTAAACTAAAAAGTTTGGAGAAGTAAAAAAATATTTAGAAATATTTTAAAAGAGTTTTTCACGATAAAGGTAGTAAGGTTTTACATTGATTGTTGTAAAATATTATATGCTGTGTAAGACGTCTTTAAAATCTGTAAAAAAATTTTATTTTAGTGATTAAACAAATATTTTATTATTGAATATGAGAAATTTCTGTAAAAAAAATTACTGCTATTAGTGACAATGACAAAATTGGTAAGAATAAAATTCGATATTCTGTTTTGAGCAGTAAATTTTTAGAAAAATTTCTCTGAAGAAAACTATTGTTAAAAAATTATACTAACCGATGCGAAGGAATTTAAATTAACAAATATAATCGAACCGATTGAAATCAAAATAGGCTTTTTGCAACGAATCATTATTATTATCAGACTTTTTTTTGTTTCTTTACCAAGAAACAGCCAATTTGTTTCAAAAATTGCTTCTTGTAAATCTCTGCTCTGAGAAAATATTATCGCACAATATTTATATATTGTTATTATAATAATAATAATATATTATAATATTTAATTAAAATATATTCAAACTAAATTCTGTATTATTTATACATATATTTATTTGGTAATAACAATATTATTAATAATGTTACTAATAATATTGTATTTAAAGTCCCTAAAGTTAGCATCGACAATCAGCGTCAAAAAACGTTTTTTTTTCGCAAAAACTGGAAAAAATAAAACAATTTTTTTAAGGTTTTAGATTTAAAAAATGCCCTGAACTCAAATAAGTTATTTTCATTATTTTCCTTGGGAAACAATGGAGTTAAAATATTTAACTCCCTAGGGAAATAATGGAGGATTTATTCCTAAAACTCATAAAAAATAATTTTTTGTACTAACTTCAGGAACATTATTATATAGAACTTTTGTAGAAATTTATAAATTTTTATGTAAATGTACTTTTCTTTTCTAAATCGTTAATTATATATGTACTTTTTGAACTTTACTAAAAACAAAAATACTTACATTGCACATTAGCTCATTTCCATAAAAGCAATAAAGAAAAAGTTGCAGCAGCATACAAATCAAAAACGGGAAGAATGCTAATAAATTTTTCAAATCCAAAGGCTCTTTGGAAATTTGATACACAATTACACAAATGGCAATTAAACTTGAAACAAATTGTGCGAACAGTATTTCCACGAATAAATTTTTTATTCTTTCCCCAAAACTGTATAATAATAAATATTTTTTTAAACAAAAAATTGTGTTTTTTTAAAGTAAATTTTACTAATAAATTAGTAGAAATTACTATTTATTAGTAAACTTTTCTAATTCAAAAGCAAAAAGTCAGTCACTAATTCAAATTAGTAAACATTTTAATTAATTCACATTTAGAGAGTATTTTCATGTAACAAAAAATTCGGTTTCAATAGAAATTGAAAAATTTTTTAAACTACAATAAATTCGTATTAAGAATTATTTACCGGAACAATTCATTATGATGTACAACAGATTTAGCTATAAATGATGACTCGAATTCGTCAATTATTTTATCATCAAAAATATGTTGCATATTCTGAACCTGATGAGGAAACTTGTTCAATCGATGTTGCAAAAATTTTAATTGACAAGAAATTTGATTAATGAATCCGGGCATCATACTATCGCCGATTACATGAACACCAGCTGTTACAAAATGACCAATCAGTTCATGAGCCCAAGTTATCCAAAAATATAGTTGCAAATTTAATTCATACGGTCTCCAAGTGTTCAGAGCTTGTACCCTTTCATCGCTCATCAATACTGATCCGTACATTGAAATCACACTCGTTGCGACTATGCTTGAATAAGTGACTATCAATTTTCTGCATTTAAAAATAAAAATAATAATAAAAATAATGATTTGTAGCACTTAAAATAGTTCAGAGTAATTTATTGCACGAAATGAACTTAGAGACACAATTTGATATCCTTATAAAAACTCTGCTCCCAAAGTTTCAATGTTTATAATTAAAAAGATAAATGTTTGAAGTTTATTAAAATTTTAATGTATTCACAACTTTTATCGAAATGCATAAATATTTCTTTTTTTGCACCTGACGAATCATATTCGATTTATCATTTTTAAAAAATATATTAATAAAAAATGCATACTTGTCGCTTTCGTCAAATTTCTTCTGAATATCCTGTTCAATTGCATCTTTCGGTTGCCACTCATCCTCCAACAATGTATTCAATAAACTCTTAATATCTCTTTGTCTGCACAAAATAATTGCAGCTTTCACCCAGGCATTCAATAATGTAAATAGAAAATACGAATTCTCAATCATTGCTTCTTCGATATTTTCCGAAGTAATAATTAAGCAGATAAGGGACAATCCAACTGAAAGCATTGTAAAAATAGTAAAAATTGAATAGACATTGTAAATTATTCTCAAAATGGAATCAGTTAAATTGAACGGTTGCCAAAGACCGAAAAATTTCATAAATAAAAACGTAGACGGTAGAATATCTTTTATTGTTCTTTTCATATTGTCATTGTGTTTTTCTATCATTATATTTTCAATTTCCCTCATTGTTGATATTTTACAATAGCAAAAATGTGAAATGGTTTTAATTTTTATGTTTCATTTAATTTTTACATTCTCATTTTAATTATGTTTTTCATGCTGTTTTTGCAAATTTTAAAGAATTGAAAACAATGTTTCTTGAATGATTGCTTTTCTGCTCCTTCTTTTTCAATGTTATTGATCTCGATTTTTTTCATTCTTAAAGGAAGGGATAGAATGTCGCATCTGGTTTATAATGACTGCAATCGATGATTACAGTCTTTGTATGCAACCCTTATTATTGTGCGGATATAACAATTTTATTATATGTACAAGGTAATTTTCTTATGGCTTCTTGAAAAACCCTTTTGATATTATTTTCTAGTTGCAAAGTTTGTTTTGTAAATATAATAAAAGTAATTGCTGTTAAATTATTTAATACTGTCATTTTCTGCTCGAGTTCAATAACTTGACTATAGCACTAAAAAAATGTCTTATTTTCATTCCGAGTATGCTGTTATTTTTTTAATGCAAGTATACTTTGACTTTGATGTTTAATTTCGAAAAAGGAATTTACTTTAGTTCTTCTCTCTTGCTTTTATAATTATTTCTGGATTTAAATTAAAACTCGCAAAGTTTATAAAAGTATGTAAACTTTTCTTCAGATTAAAAGTTTGTTTTCACAGACTGTAAAGTAGAGTAACAACTCCAGACATTTTTTGAATATTTCTCCTGTATTTAAAACTTAGGGAAAAGCTACCTATAAATATTTTACTTGCGTATTAATTAATATTTCTTAATTTGTAGTTTAAGTTTTAATTTTAATTTCTTTAAAACAGTTTGAATAATAGATCAAATTCAACGAATTTTTGATGATGTGATGTAAATTTCTTGACTTTTTGGTTGACTGGAAAAATAAGAAAAATTATTGTGTAAAATTAAATAGAATTTGTAAACATGCGGAAACAATGGTATATTTATAAAACTACAATCTTGAGGTAAAGTCTTTTTTATGAAAATACTTTTTTCAAAATAAACTTTTATATGTACTTAATTATTATTATGCACTTAATAATTAATTATTCGATGGAAGTTATACAGAATGTTGCAGCACATTAAAAGCCGAATATGATGCCTTCAGAATCTGAAAAATGTTAAATTATGAAAATCAAAATTTGGCCCCACGTATTTATTGCATACATACTTACCGATGCGAAAGAATTTAAATTTACAAATGCAATTGAAGCAATAGAAATTAAAATCGGCTTTTTAGAACGAATCATCATGATTATCAGGCTTTTTTTCGTCTCTTTACCAAGAAAGAGCCAATTTATTTCGAAAATTGCTTTCTGCAAATCACTGCTCTATTTGAAAAAGTAATCATGTTGGAATCATCAAAATATATGTTACACTGGAACCTCGATTATCTAAACTTTTGTTTTTATCCGAACTGTATCATTTTATCCAATCTTTCAATCCTCTTCATTATCTTAAACCCAAAATTTTATTTTTCACAACTTTGATACTAGAATTTCATGAAACTAAAGAAATTTGATTGACTATCTTCTGATTTTTATGATTTAAGTAAGTTCGGATAATCGAGGTTCTACTGTACTGATATTTTTCACTATTGCAGCATTTATTTTCTTAAATATTAAAAAAAAAAATTCTTCAAAAAAATATACTTACAAGAAACATTAATTCATTTCCATAAAAGCAATAAATAAAAAGTTCCATCATCATGCAAAATACAAACGGAAAGAGTGCTAATGACGTTTCAAAATCCAAAGGATGCTTCGAAATTTTATAAATAGTGACACAAATTGCAATGAAACTTGTTACAAATTGTGCAAATAATATTTCCACAAATAAATTTCTGATTTTCTCCGCGAACCTGTTAAAAATATATTTCATTACCTACAACACTCTGTGTAAAAACAAGGCATCATATTTTAAAATACTATCCCACACAGCATCGAAACTTTTCTAAAAGTTGAAAGTTTTTTTGAAAAAAGGTCCGTAAAGTCCGTAATTTCATTCAAAAAGGATGAAAAGTTCGTAAATTGTACGATATTATTTTGAGAATTTTAGAAAAATTACAAATATATTGCGAAAATTCAATTATTTTTAAAAGTAATAAAATTCTTCGCAAAAATTCAATTATGTTCAAATTTTTTTTTAAATTCTCGTCAAAATTTCAATCATCTTTAAGAAATACAATTCTTTTCCGAAATACAATTATTTTCAAAAAATCTAAAAAAAAATTGTCAACATTTCAATTATCTTTATAAATAAATAGCAAAATTCGTCGCAAAAATTCAAATATGTTCAAAAATTTTTTTTAAATTCTTGTCAAAATTTCAATTATCTTTAGAAATACATATTAAAATAAATTCTTTTCCGAAATTTACTTATTTTCAAATAATCTAAAAAAATGGTCAACATCTGAATTATTGTTATAAATAAATAGCAAAATTTTTCGACAAAATTCAATTATTTTCAAAAATTTCAATAAAATTCATTAAAAAATTTCAATTATTTTCATAATTAACAATATTTATCACACGAATTCAATTATTTTCTAAAGTAATAAAATTCAATTATTTTCAAAAATTTTAATAAAATCCATTGCAAAATTTCAATTATTTTCAAAAGCAATAATATTCTTCGCAAAAATTAAATATTGTTCAATATCTACTAATTTTATAAAATTTACCAAAAGAATTTAATTATTTAAAAAAAAATTTAATAAAATTCTACAAAAACTTTTAATTATTTTCAAAAAATAATAAAAATTTCACAAGAATTTCATTAGTAACAAATTTTTTTTATAAATTTCTTCGCAATCATTCAACTATTTTTATAAATAATAAAATTTTTGCGGGGATTTCAATTATTTTCGTAAATAATAAAATTCTTTTTTAGGAATTCAATTATTTTCAATAGAATTTTAATCGAATTGCTCGAAAAAATTCTTAAAAATTTTATTAAAAATCGTCCAAAGAATTTAATTATTTAAAAATGTATTGATAAAATTTTTAATAGGAATTGAATTCCAAAAAACATTCAATTATTCAATAAATTATTTATTTTTGTATTTAAATAATTGAATTCTGGTAGAATTTTCTCATAAACATTGATTTAAAAATAGATTTCAGTTAAAATCTTAGATTATAATAATTGAATTCTTTCGAAGAATTTCATTAAAATTTTTAAAATAATTGAATTATATCGAGACATTTTTTTTAAATTGTCTTAAAAATAATCGAATTTCTACCAAAAAAAGTTTTATCAAAACTTTTAAAATGTTTGAATTTCTGCTAAAATTCTGATATATTTTTGAAAATAATTGAATTCTTGCGAAGAATTTTATTAAGACTTTTAATAAATAATTGAATCTCTGCAAAGATTTTTATTATTTTACGAAAATATTTAAATTCTTTGCGAAAAATTTTATTAAAATTTCTGAAAGTAATTGAAGATCTGCTAAGAATTTTGTTATTTTTAATTTATGCCAGGAATTTTATTAATATTTTTGAAAATAATTGAATTCCTGTTAATTTTTTACAAGAATTTAATTATTTTTGAAAATTTTAATAAAATTCTTCGCAAGAATTCAATTATTTTCATAAATAATAAAATTCAATGCAGAATTTCAATTATTTTTAATTCGAATTTCTCGAAAAATGTAATTATTCTTAAAAATTTTATTAAAATTCCGTTGATAGAATTCAATTATTTGAATATTTGTTGAGAACAATTCTTTATGGGAATTGAATTTTAAGAAACGTTCAATTATTCAATAAATTATATACTTTTTATTTTAATAATATTGAATTCTAGTAGAATATTCTAATAAAAATTGATTTTCATTTCATAAAAATGAATTTCAGTTAAAATTTTAGATAATAATTGAATATTAAAAGTAATATAGCGTGAATTTTAAAAAAGAATTGAATTTTGTAATTAATTTTTTTGAAAAAGTTTAATTGAGATTTTTTAATACTATTTTTAGTTTCTATTTTCTAATATTTATTTAATTAAAGAATTTACGAATAATCAAAATTTAAAAATATTAATTGAATCGATAATGATTTTAATTATTGTAAATTATTTTTATTAATAATTATTATTAATTATTATAAAATATGAAGAAATCGATAACTCCGAGTCTATGTTTTATAGTTATGAAAAAATGAATTTCTAGTTTTAAGTAAAATGTTCTCTTATCTGATTCGGCCTGATTCTATTTTTGTCAGTTGGTCCGTAATTTTTAATTTTTGGTCCGTAAAGTCCGTATTTTTAAATACTTTCACTGCATCGAGCCCTGAATTACTTTGACTGCAATATTCGGAATCTTTAGTTACGGAATCTTTAAAGTTGAAATAATTCTTTAAATTGCGACTGTTTTTCAATGTTTGACGCGAAAGTTGATTGAACATTGCATGAAAGTTTAAAATTTCTTCAACTCTCATGCAATGTTCAGTTAACTTTTACGTCAAACATTGAATAATGTTACCGTAATTTATCTATGAATAATGTATGCACCGTAGAATTTTGAAAACATTTTGCTAAATGCAGCAAACTTACAGGTTAGTTAGCTAAGAAAACAAGTAATAAATACACAACATTAAAAGATTATTCTATTGTTTTACCAAAATATCGTGTTATGATGTTTCACTGATTTAGAAATAAATGACGACTCAAATTTTTCCTTAATTATATCAGAATTTTGAGTCTTTTGAATATTTTCCACTTGGCAGGGAAATTTATTTAGACGATATTCCAAGAGCTTTAATTGACAGCATAGCTGCATTATGAAACCAGGTACCATTGTATCGCCAACAATGTGAATACTTGCTGTTATAAAGTGACCAAAGTATTCATGAATCCAAGTTATCCAAAAGTGAAATTGTAAATCGTACGGTCTCCAAGTGTTCAGAGCTTGTACTTTTTCATCACTTATCAATATTGACATGTAATTCGAAGTTACACCTAATGCAATCATGGTCGAATATGTGATCGTTACTTTTCTGCACATAT